GCGGCGCGAGCGTCGTTTCTGCGACCACGCTCGCAGTCGAACCGTTCCCGCCGAGGTCGAGACGTGGTTGCCCGCAGCGCGCACGGGCCTCCGCGGGTCGAGCGCCGTCAGGACGTCGTGAGGAGTATATAGTCGAGAGCCTGTAGAAAGTCCGAATTGTGTTAGCAAATGCTACGAGGGGCGCCGGAGACGACTGCATACCGTTTGACGATCGTCGTCGTGGTCGTACGCGTGGGGGCGAGAGCGAGAGCGCAAAGGCCAGCGCCCTCGGGGGACTCGGAGACGCGCCGGGAGCTCCCACGAGCACACGTGCGTGTCTTCCCAATTTGGACTTTCGACTTTCGACTCCCGAGTTCCGAACGGGCGCTTCCTCTACCTCCTTCTGCGCCGCGTGCAGTGGCACACTCTCTCGGCTTTCCACAATCCATCCTCGGCTAGCGCTGCACGCGGCATACACAATCTAGATTTTCCGACCAAAGGTGATTTTGCCTAGCCATTTGGAGGATGGGAACGTTCGAAGAGCTCTTTTTCTTCGCGTCGACGCTCTATGTGCATTCCAATCCCCATTGCTAACTCAACGGGCATGCATCTAGGTATGCGCTGCTTTATTCCGCAGGATATCACTCATTCGCATTTCCCCGACATCGTTCAAGCTTTGACATGAACGCTCACATATGCACACGTGTTCCAGTCATCACTGCACTCAGTGCCTGGGCGGAAGGTCGGTCGGGTCTCCCGGCGTTACAGTGCTAGATCCTCTCATATGTGCCGTAAGCCATGTTCAATGCTCAATGCCCGTTATGCTGTCGCTTTTTTGTGCCAGAAATTGAATTTTGAAGCCATCGCGTCATGGCTGTCGAGCGTGAGCCGAGGTTGAAACGGGGATCGATTATCTGTTGACCTTATACACCCGGCAGGCCTACAGCATGTGCGTGATTCGGCTTTCTCAGGAATTATACTCCTTTGTCTCCCGGCTCCGCCAGGATCCCCCGCCGTTTCATCTATATAAAGTCCCCCACATTCGTCCGTCTGGTGCACATTCGTCGCTTCGAACGAGTTGCTATCATCCCCGACCTCCCGACCTGCCTCGAAGCGACCCCTCACCCAAGGCTCAAACCACCTCCGCATCCTCATGTCGGCGCACGCCCCCCCGGCCCCTTCTCAGGACGACACGTCCACTGGCACTCTCGCCTTCCTCACCGCGCGCTCTTGCGATCTGGATCATCCCAGCCCCGCTCAGCTGTCTACAATCTTTACACTTCAGTCTCAAGTGTCGACAATGGACGACACTCACGCTGAAATGGACATACTGCAGGCTAAGATTTCGCAAGAACGTACTGAGTAAGGGTCTCGCTATCATTGACTGCTTCCCCTAGATTAACTCCGCCTTCCTGTGTGTGCAGGTTCCTGAATCGCTTCGATGTACAAGCTTCCAACGTGGACCTTTGGTCGTCATCTTTGGTTGAGTATATCTACAAGACCAATCTGCAGTATCGTGAGAACATGGGGCGCGACCTGCGCGCCGCTTCCCAAAAAGCTCGCGACCTGGATATAATCGTGACACTCGACAAGCAGCTGGCCGCGGCGGACCAAGCGACTAGCGACATGCGTCAAAGGCTATCTGTTGTACGTGTTCTCCGAGTACTCTTCCTGAAACTGGGCCGATCTTCCGAAACAGGCACAACAAGTGTTCGACAGGCAGAGCCAACAGCTCCCCGTAGCAAAGCGGGACAACATACAATCCAAACTGAACTCGATATGCCAAGGATTGGCCGCTTGTGCTGACGGTGAATGGTATCTCCATTCGCGGGTAGACTACATGCGACCACGCTTCGAGATTCTCACTCTCCCGGCGGTACGTGATACATATTGAATGACGCGCTTTGTCAAGACGCTGATATGGCGTCACATAATGATCCCTCAGAACGATTTCGAGAGATTAATTGCAACGCTTCCGCCACACATCACGAGGACCTCCCTCCGAGGACGCCTTTCCGGAGTTATAGACAGCCTTCAGGATGTGATTGAGGAATGCGCAGGAATCGACCAACTTACGCGGATTTGTAATGCGCGGGCTATCACTATGTGGCCTCTGCATCTCGAACGCGTCACCATTGGGGATAGGGACGAGTTGGTCTCCAACTATCTCACCCTTTTCATACACTTGCAAGCACAGCTATACCGACAGCGGAGCGCGTGCGACGTCATTCAGGTATCTCCGTTTTGCGCCGAGCTCCTTCACTGTTCCATGCTTACTTGCACTCAGACAGAGCTTGATCACGCCCACGATCTGCCCGTGGTTATGCAAACGCCTCGGAGCATATTCCCCCTGACCGATCTTACCGAAGCTCTGTTCGTTGCCGAATCTCTACAAAAGGAACTCGAGGGCGTCCACCAGGTCATTAAGATCCCTCTGCTGCGCCTTGACATTGGTGCTGACATATTGGAACAGCGTCAGAGTGAGCTTGAGAAGTCGCTCAAAGAGACTTCCGAAGAAGTCCTCGAGTTGGTGCTCCCTTCCCTCTCCGTTGACGGATCTACGAATATATAGTCGCGCAGTGATAGTATACAAGCCAGACAACGTAATACACAACCTCAGTTCTCCAACCGAATCACAGCTACTCTCCCTGAACGCAAATGGATCGGAAGTATCGTAGTAAAGCAGGTTTCAAGGAGTTGTAGGACGGCGTTTATCCTCACCCCTACGTTTGCAACTCTGCCAACCTCGCAAGTATGGGCAGCACGTTCTCCGATGCGGCAGCCAAGGGCCAGTGCTACACACCGCAGAGCTGGCTCGTGCTGCAGTCGTGCATATTGGCACACAATGGCTCCAGTGATGTGGGTCGGTGGGGATGAAGGTCAGGTGCAAGATGTTTTGAAGGGGTGTGGACGAGAACATATATATAATGGGGTGCAGCGTGGAAGAGGCCTCGTATCGCGCACCAGGTTTGTGTAGGATCTCTGACGCAACGTTAACAAGCAATGCGGGAAAACGTAACCAATGGCAAACACACAACGCGCACCAAGTCGATGCACCCTGCAGCATCGCGACTCCGTACAGAAGACTCCGCATGACGCGAGATGGGGAGAAGCGAGGTAGAGATCTTTCGTAGAGCAGTGATTTTGTCTTGGGTCGAGGGCGGAAGCATGCTCACGGACGGGCGAGGCGGCGGCAAAGGCGGCGGGTTGGTGATAGTTGGAAGTGATCGCATTGAGAACCTGCTCGCTTCGCAGATGCATCGACCGTATCATTGATTGTGTGCCATTGATATGACAGCACGATACAAACCTCGTCCGACGGCAGATGAGGAATGGCGTCCCGCGCGCATAGGGTGCTACTGCAACTTGTACCTTCATAGGCCCTTATCGATCATCATGCGCACATCACTCCATGCGCTGCTCTATGTGAACATGAGCTGCGTGTTAGCGACAATTGTGTACGAAATTTCACTAGCAGTCCAGGGATGCTTACAGAGAGCCCAGTATCGAATAAGGCCCGAGTGTGGGCGGTGTTGGGACACTCTGGGGTGTCGCTGATGCAGGGCGCGGATAAAAAGGCAAAGAAAAGCGTAGTCGTGGCAAGTCCAGATCAGTAGGCCAAGGTTGACGGACCGTGGGTCAGCGTACGCTACAGCTCGGCGTTTAGAATCAAACTGATAGAAGGGGACTTACCCTATCGCTCCTTGCTTGTGCGAGAAACGCAGCGCGCAATAGTTCGCCGAATCAATCCCTATCGCCGGTCACTTTGCAGAATCACTACATGGGTCGATGTATAGCTGCCGCGCAACATCCGACATGGGAAGCGTGGCCGCGGATTGTACGGCCGATATGTGACTTTCAAAAATATTGTTATAAGCACACATCTACGAGCTAGACGATGGGTAAACCAACGGCGGGTGCGAGTTGAGGGTCATTATGGACAGGTTCGACAGGCAGTAGCTGCCCTGTAACAGCACATCAAGATTGAGTGTCCACAGTTTCTGGGGACAGATGTAATGGGACAGGGCTAAGAGGATGAAGGCAAATACTCGCCACGAACGAGCTCATTGTCCTATATACCTGTCGTCAGACTCCGTAACCGACAAGCACGTCCGCAACCTGTTCTCCCGACAGGCGACGTGGGTGCAGCCGGACGACGGGGAGGAGGTGTGGCGGAGGAAGCAAGAGCGGACGGCTAGCGCGAGGCGTGACAGAGGGGCGAGAGTGAACGGGGGAACAGCGATCGAGAACGGGAACACGTACCTGTCGATTCAACCCGCCGCGTCGGTGAACAGGGCTCGGGCTACGGGCGCGGTGCCGACCTTGGTGTCGAGAGCGCAAACATGGCCGGGGTCCACAGGACGGGACGCGTCGCCCCCGCGATGTGGTCTCCTTCGTGGACGCCTTCTGCGCCTTCTGTGCGATCCAGAAGGGATTAGCGCTGCGCAACGGACACGCGCGATAGTCGACAGGCGAAACGGGCGACTTACGAGGGTGTCCCCGGGGATCAAAAGTGCAGGCCCGCACAGTGCTGGGCAGGCGGCTTGGGTTGCTGGACGCGGCGCGAGCGTCGTTTCTGCGACCACGCTCGCAGTCGAACCGTTCCCGCCGAGGTCGAGACGTGGTTGCCCG